GCTTCCATGTTGGCATCTGCCTCTCCTCAAGAGCAAAAGGAAATGCTGGGTGAATGGCTTTTTCCTCTTATTCAAGCCATACGCCCTACTCTTGCCAGTAAAATCACTGGTATGTTGTTGGAGATGGATAATACAGAACTTCTTCATATGCTTGAATCTCCAGAGTCTCTATGTTCTAAGGTTGATGAAGCTGTAGCTGTTCTGCAAGCCTACCGAGCTAAAGAGGCTGCCCAGAAAGCAGTTAACAGTACCACTGGTGTATCAACTGTTTAAGATTGATCAAGGACCACAAAAAGAAATCCATGCTTCACCAAAGAAAAATATCTAAACATCAAAAAACTTAAATGATATGGGGAAAAGTTTCAAAATATAAAATAAATTTTAGCAGGAAAGAAAATGTTGAACCTTATGTTCTGAGCAAATGCCAGGTCTAGCAAGCATCATGCTAGTCCTAGATTACTTATTTTAAAAAGATAACAAAAACAAAAAATAGTAAAATATAAAAGTAAATAAATATTTTACAAACCCTGGGAAAAAGAATTTTCAGCCAAGTTCAACAACTTAAAGCATGTTTTTCTTTTGTAATTCTTTACTGTGAAATAGCTCAGAATGTCAATTCTGGTTTAAGTAACAGATTGATAACTGAGCAAAGAATGGTAATTTGGATTATAAAATTCTTGCTTTAATAAAAACTTCTTAAACAGTTAAAAATGTGCATATTTATTTAAGTGTAAGGTAATCTTACCAAGCAGTGAAAATATAAGGAAATTGAGGCTTAAGGGGTGTTTAAAGAGAATTTATGGTGGAGAGGTTAAGGTGCAATAAAAGTTTAGGGAGAAATGTAGTTCATTATTCAAGGGTATATGATGTGGTGCATGAGGTTTACACATTGTCTCCTAACAATTTCAGATGGAAACTGAAGCTTAATTTCTCAGAAAAGGCATATGCCTGTATTAAAAAAGCTGATTTCCTTTGGAACATTTTTCATTTAAGATTATATGTAGTATTACTTGAGACCTAGGATTGTTAACTAAAATAGGCATTGTAGTTAACGGCAGTTGATAAGTTTCTAATTTTACATGGAGTCCAAGAGTCTATTTCTAGAAAGCCTCTTCCCCCTCATTGGACTAAACAGCTCTTTCCCCTTGTAGTGGGCTCCTGTTTTTTTAAAGTAATCCCACCACCATCAAACAAGAAACCTAAAATAATTGGTTTTTGGTAGAGGCTTGGTATTACTACATTTTGTTCTTTAGGAGATTTTAGGTGTTGAGTGTTGTTTTAACCCATTACTTTTAGGGAAGTCAGAAGAGGATGTTCATAGCTAACTTGGAATTTGTAACCTCAGCTCTGGGAGAGGATTTATCCTGAACCATTATTATCTAATTTAAGTGTGTTGTTACTTTAGGGTCATGGCATGCTTGTTTATGTCTGTTACCATGAGTCAATATGCAGTGTAGCCCACTTGAGAGTGTGAATGTACGCACGCTGTCACTTTGCTCTGTGTAGTAGTTTATTGGTAACTTATTTTGTTTTTATATCTCCCTTTTGGATAGAATGTATTAAAACTCACCCTGTCATCCCTATGCACATAAATAGCACTACCTGCTGGATGGAATTTGCATCTAGAACCTCAGAATTCAGAAGAATCTGACTACCATTCCCTATGGGAGAGTGGGGGGAAACTTTCCAAATCTTGAAGTTAAGAATAGAGGACTCAGCTTAACTTTGGATTCAGATATCGGGAACAGGAAGGAAAGTGTGAGGTGAGGGCCTTTGGTTTCTTATTGGGGGGTGGGAGTAGGGGTAGTAGGAAGTATTCTTTTAAGCAAATAAGAAACAAACGTAGAAGACTTGCTTCTAACTCTAGGACATTTCAGAGGATTAGAGGAGGTGGGGGGATTTACTCCTGCCACAGATTATGGATCCCTCTGCAATCATCTAGTTTTGCAGTATTTTTATGCATAGAGATTGGACTCTGATAACACTCACACTCTCCTGTTTTTCATGTTCCTCCTTGGTGCTTACACATTTCAGACCCTTTAGCCAAACCCTTGCCAGTAACAGTATTTTAGATCTCAGTTCTCACCATTCCCTCTGGCCATTGAGCCTTTTGGATAAAACTCACAGCCAGGGATGTTATTGGAAAAGGTGACCTTCCTCTAACTGCACCTATACTTCTGGATCCTCAAACAGTAGGTTGGCAGTAAGGTAGAATGGACATTTTCCTTTTTCTCGGTGACCAGATTGTGAATATTTCCATATGGGTTTTCTATTGTTAATATTACTGTGGCTCTTTGTTTTGAAATAAACATACTGAATTAAAAAAAAAAAAAAAGACATGGAAATATTTTCTAGGTTTTCTCTAAAGCTACAATGAGCAGTATAGGAACTATATTCCAGATCTCTTAAATGAAACTGAGAGAGGAAGATGGGTTTCCAATTTGTTATCTGATAGGAGTATGTAAAATACAAACTAATGTATGAGAAGATCATTCAATCTTAATGCATGGAACAACAAATGCACACTACTGAAATACAGGTTTTTCTAAGTACTTGTTCTGAAGTTTTTTTTGAAATCTGGCCAAACAATCCTATTTTAATATACTGATTCACATAGGTCAGAACATTTGCAAGGCAAAATGTTTTATGCAGCCAGCGAAAACACAGCCCTAAGCTTACGTTGTAATAATAAAGGACTTGGGAGCATCTGACTTTAGGAACTCATAAAAACAGCTTGACCCTATGCCCTGAGATATAAAGAATATGCAGAGTTGCATTGTGCTTCTAGGGTCAGGACAACATTCAGCTTTTTTTAGAGATGAACTGATGCCAGTGAAAGGAGAAATAAATATACAGATCTGAGACCTAGGGCTTGGTGAGGTTAATAACACGGTATCACAAAATCCTGAGTTTTCTCTTTCACGCTGTACATTCTTTGAGGTAAATTTACATACGTTTTGAAAAATTTAGGCATGAAATACATATTATTGATTATACTCGGAGGCTCCAAGTTTCCTGCTATTTATGGTTTAAATTGTTAGGGATCTTACCAATCACAGCATCTCTTAAAAGGTATGTGTTTTATCAGCCTGGGCAACATGGCGAGACCTCATCTCTACAATAAATTTTTAAAAAATTAGCCAGGCATGGTGGCGTGTGCCCGTAGTTCCAGCTTCTTGGAAGGCTGAGGTGGGGATTGCCTGAGCCCAGCCGGTAGAGGCTGCGGTGGCCATGAGCATGCCACTGCAAGCCACTGCAATCCAGCCTAGGTGACAGAGTGAGACTCTGACTCAAAAAAAAAAAAGTATTCGTTTCTTTTTTTTGAAGAGACCGTGAAGGAATGAAAGTGTGTGCGACACATTCCTTTACATTATTTAGGCAATACTGAATACACCTGCCGATATAAAATAACCACTATTTCCTACATACCCAGCTCTATTCTAGCCACCGCTCGTGAATTCTCACTTAATCCCCAAACACCATATATTACGGATGAGGAAACTAAGGCACAGAGACACTACATTTAAAAAGCACATAAACTATGGTGCCAGGACTTGAACCTAGACAATTTGACTCCAACATTTATATCCCTAACCATTTCCTTAGGTTGTCTTCAGGTTCTGCGTTTAAACCTGATTGCTTGAGCCTCAAGCCACGTCCCTCTGGCAACCTGTAAGCCATTACAAAAAAGTCCCCAACTTCCACGTGACTTAGAAGTTACTCCAGGGTCCTTCCCTAACCAGGGGCTGCACCCAACTGAGCTGACCTTGTCGTTGCTAGCAGCAGAACCGCGCCACCCGGGACGCGGGAGGGTTTTTTAGACTAAGAATGCTCCTGCCTGCCCCGTCAGCAAGGGCCGTGTCTGTCCCCAACATCTGGATTCTGGAGCAGCGACACGATCATGTTCGTCAGTGACTGCTCTGCTGCCTGTGTTGCCCCACGTTTGTTTGGGCTACAGCTCCTCTCGGCCTGGACTAGATTTGAAGCCACGCCAAGGAACCCGAATTGTGAGGCAGACAGCACAGCGACGAGACCGCCGAGTCTGCAAAAAGCATAGAAAGCTAGACGTGAGCGCGACCAAACAGGCCGGGAAACTCGGAGAGATTGCTAACATGCTTCGCTCTCAAGGCCGGAACGCAGCGCTGCTCCCGAGGGTATCCGCCTTGGGGCGTTTCCAGCTGTGGACATTGGACACGCGGCCGGCCCGCGGCCTCCGGTGGCGCCAGGTCTGAGCAGAGCCGTGACTGTGGCGAGCGCGGAAACGAGGCGGACGCGAGCCGGGAGAAGGGGGCGCGCAAGGCATTCCCGGGAATGTGTTACAGACGCACAAAAACCCGGAAACAGTAAGGGAGAGCGCAGGGAAGAGCGCCTCTTGAGGATTGGTTAGTGGCTGAGACGCTCAGCCCGGCCCCCTACACCCTGCAGGGAATCGCGTTGGGCGGGGCGGAGCTGCTCGCGCCGGCCAAGTCTGCCAATCACACGGCTCGACTGCCTCTCGCGAGGCCAAGCCCCCCCCCTCCCGTACCTTGGTGGAGGCTGGCAGCGGTGAGTGCGCTGTCGCGTCGCTCTTCCGCTTTGGGCGGAACTGAGCCGCGCGCCGCTTTTCCACTTCCCGAGAAGCCTCTCCCCTGGCACGGGTAGGTCCGCTGCCGCGGCTGCGCGCGCTTTCTGCCCACGCCGGGAGAGGCGAAGGGAGGTAGTGTGTTGGGGATGAGAGGATATCTGAGGGCTGGATTTTCTTGGGGAGGGGCGTCTGCTGTGGAGTCGAGTAGCTCTCCTTTTCCGCGGTCGGGGGAAGTCGACCCCTCCTCCGGTCTGGGGTCTCGGGAGGGCTTGTGGGCTTTCTGCAGTGGGGAAAGGAGGGGAAGAGTTCTCCCTCTGGTTTTACCCCGTTAAGGGTGATGCCTCCGTGGAAGAAACAACTTCAGCCGACCTTCCTTTTCAGTGTCTGTTCGCTCCGTAAACTAAAGCGGTGCAGACGGACGCAGATGGATCTCCGCTTGTGTCTGGGGCCTGGAGGGTAGCAGGTTCCAGTCACTCCGCTTTTAGAGTTCAGGGTGGATGTGACAGGTTTGCTTATGATTTCCGAGTCAAGATTTCGGCTATTTATCCTTAATTATGAAGTTGTCATAACGAAGTTAAATAATTCCTGATTATAAGTTGTATTCTCCCCTTCTATAACGCAGAACTTGAAAACATTTTTATAAAAACAGTCTTGTGTCTATGACATACTAGCTGGTTAATTTGCCATGAAAAACTAGTAGTCCTTATGTGGAAAGGCAAATAGAAGACTGCAAAAAAACAAGAATGAGTTACAAGTAGTTGAAATTAAGAGAGATTGCTGGCTTTCTTGCAAGTGCTTTGTGCACCAATAAAAAATTATTTGATAAAAAATTGAAGACTGTACAGATACGTTTTAAATTTGACCCCCATTTTATAATTTTTCTTTTTCAGAGGTAAATCAAGATTTCATTTCCAAGATGGAAAGTCCGCCGGACTCAGCTGTGATTTTGCCTAGCACTCCTCAGTCTTGTGGGAATGCACGTTCTCCCCATACAAATAGTTCACAAAAACAAGTATGAGAATCTTTGTTCTTTCAGTGAATCTATTCTGTTTCAAAGTATTGTGACAGTGGTGTTGTTAAGTCTACTGAAGATTCCTAATTAACATAATTTATAGCATAAATAAGTAGATACTTTATTATTAGTAATTTTAGATTTTTCTTCCAAGATAACATGTTCCCGTCCTCCACCCACTTGCCTGCCGCAGATTTTTTTTTTTTTATCTTGAATCAATTTCATTTCGTTTCAGTTCAGGTTATGACAGCATTCCAAATTGACAGTTTGAATTTGCAATATTATTACGAAGATCTTTAATGGAAGGATCTAGGTTTTTTTCCCTTAATTTGTAATTTTGAAGCACCTGGAATAGCGTCAGACCTATGTTAGTTGCTGAAAAAATGTTCCTTGATTACTGAGATAAGGGTCTCAGCAATGTTGATTTTGTTGAGGTAAGAAGAGAATAAAACTCTCCAAGCTTCCCATAATTAGACATTTTGTGATGGCTACTTTAGATTTGTGGAGACAGAAAGCCAACTAGTGGTGTCTAGTGTGGAAATAAGGCCTTCATTTCTAGTAACTTTATTTACATCAATAATTTTTTTGATTAACATTTTTAATGTTTTGTGCCCTTTACAGCCTATGAGTGCAACACTTAGAGAAAGATTAAGGAAAACAAGATCTTCATTTAATTCCTGTTACAATGTGGTAAAACGTCTTAAGGTAGAGAATGAAGAAAATGATCAGACTTTTTCAGAGAAACCAGCATCTTCCACAGAAGAAAACTGTTTGGAATTTCAAGAAAGTTTTAAACACATAGACAGTGAGTTTGAAGAAAGTACACATTTGAAAAATACTTTCAGGAATATCAATGTGTGTGACGCTAAACCACTTGATACTGGATCATGCAGTGCTCTCCAGAATGTGTTTATAAATGAGAGTCTTCCTAACCAAGGATTAAATGAAGAAAAAGCAAAATTGGTGAAGCAGATTCAGGAGAAAGAAGACCTTCTTCGAAGACTAAAACTAGTCAAAATGTATAGATCAAAGGTGAGAAGAATTTCGGGATCATTGTGTAGTAATTTTTTATTTTTATATCAATTGCAGGAAAATAATTTTAAAAATAGAAAATAATGGCTTTTTTTTTTTAGCACAATAAGCCAAATATTCAGAAACCCAGCTTCAACAACTTTAATTCAAATCTAAGTTACAGATTTAGAGTAGAGTAGAAGAACTTCTAAACACCAGATGAAACTTTAGAGTTCTAGCTCCTTTTAAAATGCAGTTGAAGCTTTCCCACTAGTTTCCAGCCCACAGCAATATTAGATGTAAGTACAGTGAGAACAGAAGTGACAGCTGACAGTGAATGAGAAAAAGTAAAAATGGGCCATAGAATACAGTAAAAAGTGTTTTTAGTAATGATCTTATATCTCCCCAAATAGTTTAACCATTTTGTTTGAGAAAAAAAAAGTATGTTAGATTTAGATTTAGGTTGAATTAAATAGAACATGGACACTTGGAAGGAGGTAACCTTTATTACCTGGATAATTCATGTATAGGCCATAACTCATTCTTCATCAGCTATGTGGAATAAATGATAGAATAGTGTATTTCATTTGTTCTCTTGAGTTTTTAGGATTTTTTTCTATATATGTCTTATAATGTATGAGTATTGAGTGTTGAAAAAAATATATTTAATTGTGTCTTTTTAGAAATAGGGTCTTACTCCATCACCCAGGCTGGAGTCCATTGGCATAATCATAGCTCACTGCAGCCTTGAACTCCTGGGCTCAGGTGTTCCTCCTGCCTTAGCCTCCCAAGTAGATGGGACTACAGGCATTCACCTCCAAGCCTGGCTAATTTCTAATTTTTTAAGAGATAGGGGTCTCATTATGTCCAAGCCAGTTTTGAACTCCTAGCCTGAAATGATCCTTCAGTCTTGGCCTTGCAAAATGCTGGCAACTACAGGTATAAGCCACTGTGCCTGGCTTGAAAAAACTAATTTTAACTTCAATATTATAATTTTTTACAGCAGTTTTAGGATCACAGCAAAATTGAGTGGAAGGTACAATATAGTCATAGTTTAAAAGTACAATTGTAATAGAGTAGATTCTTTTTACTTGTATTCTTGCTTCTCTTCATTGTTCTGCCCTATTTAATGATTTGATTTTTCCCTGAGGATGAGGATGGCTCAGAGCATGAACCAAACAAAATAGCTGTAGAACTCAAGTTGAGTGACATTGTAACCATTCTACTTATGACCATCCTACTTTTTCTTAGGTGGAAGTCCCATTCATACCCAGGTATGTCAGCCTTTAAGTCTGCACATCAACTTATTAACAGCTTTCATTAGTAAGTTAAAATAGCATGACAGACTATTTGTTGACATGCATTCATGTTTTTTTTTTTTTTCTGTTTCAGAATGACCTGTCTCAATTGCAGTTGTTAATAAAGAAGTGGAGAAGCTGTAGCCAGCAGTTGCTTTATGAGTTGCAGTCAGCTATGTCTGAAGATAATAAGAAACTAAGTCTTACTCAACTGATAGACCACTGTGGGTTAGATGATAAGTTGCTACACTACAACAGAAGTGAAGAAGAATTTTCAGATGTTTAAGTCATCATTTTTTCTCCTCAATATCTTTGAGAATGACAACTTAATTAAAAGATACTTACATATTTTAAAGGGAAGGTATCCTGATGAACATCAATTTAGGGCACTCTGATATATAAAGTAAGTTCTAAAATGAAAATTTGGAATTTTGGATATGTTTGCCAAAGAAAACTTGACATTTAAAGTAATGTAAAAAAAATTCCTGTTTAGAAATTCATTTGGACAATTTTGGAAACCAGTTTTAATACATTGTTTTTTTGTGGCAAAACAATTTTATTTGAAAAGTTTAAAAAGTTGTTCAATCTGGTGAATGTCTGAAAAACAGGTCTAAAAATGCCTGCCTCTCTCCCAGGTTTATGAACTTTATTTCTATCCATTTACCACATATTTCCATCTTTTGATCTAGCAGTTAATTAAATCCATATGTCTAACATGATTCTTCCTGTCTTTTCACATTTGTTTCTTATACTCTTCATTTAGTGAAACAACCATCTTTTCTTACAAAAATACATTTTCTTATCTTCCACATGAAGCTATCATGACATACAAGGATCTTCACATTGATTTGTCTTTTTAGCTTCATTTGTAAAATAGATTAAACGTAGAGTGCTTATAAACCCACCTTCACAGAGTTGGGTTTCTGTTGCCAAGTTATACAATCATGCCTATCATTTTGACCATATATAGGACCCAAGCTGGCCAAGTCCCTGAGAATTTGGAATTGAGCTCAGGAAAAGAAAACTGGTCTCTGTGGCTGGAGCTGTTGTATGTAAACTTGGAAGCAACAGCGCTGGCATACTTAAGGACAGTGTATGTGCTTACAGAAAAAAGCAGTGATAGATGGAGACAGAACATCGTGGATCAGTGGCTTCCTGGTTCTAGTTGCCAGTCATTGCTGAGGGGTTTCTGGATTTCTGCTGTTGGGTTAAAACAGCCTTACTTAGTATTTTAAAAAGCACTTTTCCCTACTAATTGGTAAATAGTACTACTCTGAATCCTCCCCAAGTGCACACCACTTTCAGCCCAGTCATTCCCCATAATCTAACAAATGTTTGATGTTTGGCACAGCAGGGGACCTAAGGTAGGATTGCATTCATTCTAATTGTTAATTGAATTTTCTTACCCCTGCCCACATACACAAGTTCTTGTTTCTAGACACTGTCATTGTCATAGGCTTTTGTGAATCTGTGAGGACTGGTCCAAACCTCACATGGGCCTTCTCTGATCTTGGATTCCTAGATGGGCACCCCTGGGGAGCTGCAATATTCTAGCGCCTGCCAGCCAGGGTCCTAAATGTGGCAGAGAAAACATTTGTCCCTGGTGATGGTGCTGGCATTCTGATGGGTAAATGTGTGGCACCTATCTAGATCTCAGAGGCTGCAGCTGCCCACCACTGATGGGCACATCTGAAATCACCCTTACATGTACACTTGGGAAGTTTCAGCATTTTGGGACTTTGGTTCTGGGAGAGCTAGGAGCATGGGAATAGAGATTTCCAAGGCACTAGCTTGGTGCTGAGGTTTCAAACAGGACAGTGGGTATTTGAGGAATGGGAGGTGGTGAGATGCGTGGGGCTAATGAGTCTGGGGATGGCTGTGAGATAGTCCTTTTTACCATTTGTGTTGAATTTCACCTCCACTTAATAGGATACATTTATTAAAAACCACTGAACGTCATATTTTTATTTGTTAAAATGAGAGCTAACAACATAGCACTTGCCTTGTGCCAATTTTAAAAGAACATTGACTCATTGGAGGAGTATTATGGTCAACATCCCAGTATTAAAGATGAGGAAATTTAAGATAGTAGTTATTTAACAAGTAAGTAGTTACTTAAAGCTTAAGTGGCAGAGCCAGGATTTGAAGTCATTCAGCCTTGAAACCACCTATTATTTTAGTTCCTATGCATAAAACCATAGCATGTTTAGCTAAATTAATTGTCACTAGTTGATAATGCAGATATTTAAAGTACTATAAATATATGAATACAGTTGCTGTTCAACAGAAACTGAGAAAGGTTTGTGCCATGAATAGTATCAAGAGAGGCGTTAGGGTACATGACCTATGTGCCCTTTCAAAGTACCTGCCAAGCCCCTAAACCAGAAAATATCCCAGAAAAACCTACTGGAAAATAACTTGAGGGCAAGAGGTACTTACTAATCCCTACTCCATCGATGCTTTAAAGCTAAGACAAGCAAAGAGCATTGCTAGAGTCATCCAGGATTGATGACTAGGAAAAATGACACAGACTGGTTTCTTAAGACCTGGGAATCCACAGGCATCTAGTGAACTTTGTACCATTTGCTGTTATCAAATGATCCTCAGGTAGCTAACTTAGGTGACATGAAGTTTGACCAGAAAAGTAAAAAATCTAGTACATCTATGGTTAACTCAAACCAACAGGACAAAAAACTTCTGACAACTCATCTTAAGTATAAATTATTTGCATTCCTATCACACTTCTCCACCCTAGGGTCTATCTATCCCTCTGTCCCCCACATCCCTGTCCCAGATAATTGTGAAGGACCCTGACTGTAGGAAATGTTACCAATGGGCACTTTCCAGGTGGCTCAGCCAAACAGATTACTTTCGGAGTTATTCCAATACTAAGGAGCAGGGTCATAAAAACGTCAGTCCTGTCATTTCCCTTACCATCCCCATTCAGTATGGATCACTGTGATAAATGGTATCTTCTAAAGGTTTTTTTTCTAAACAGACTATTTTATAATAGCTCTCTTGTTTTACCCACATTGGCGTATATTGGATATGGTATTGTGGATTAAACTTAATGCTTAGTTCATAAGTTACAGAACAGTGAGGCATTGACATCACTTAGAGGTTGTGATCTGTGATCCAATGACACAGCAGTTCACAGGCAATGGAAATGCAAAACAGTTTTCTGGCCAGTTTTTCTCATTATATAACTATCATCCCTGCATGAGTAAAATAATAAACTCATTAAAATAAGAAAGCATTTTTTTCTGTTTGCTAAACACTATTGTATAGGGCACAAAATTGAGTTCTAAATAAAGATGTAGATGATTATGTTTTAAAAATATGTTGTAATTTACAAATGATGTAAGACTTGGAAGAAGTAAACAATTTACCTTGTTCTCTTTGGTAATGTAGGGTAATCTTAAATATTCTGGTAATTTTTTTCTAATTATAGAGGAAATGCTTACTGAAGAAAACTTGCGAAATATAGAAAAGCATAAAGATAAAAATCATAACCTCAAAACTTTTCTAATTTATAAAATTAGAAATGCTAGCAGTGCTAAGTATTTCTTTTTACATTTAAAGCTTTCTATACCATAACTATGATCCAACTGCCTTTGGGAGACTGAGGTGAGTGAATTGCCTTGAGCCCGTGGGTTCAAGACCCGCCTGGGCAGGCAAGACCTCATCTCTACAATAAATCAAAAAAAATTAGCTGGGCATGGTAGCGTGCACCTGTAGTTCCAGCTACTTGGAAGGCTGAGGCGGAAGGATCGCCAGAGCCCAGCCAGTCAAGGTTGCAGTGGCTGGCAGTGGCCATTGCACTCCAGTCTGGGTGACAGAGTGAGACTTCAACTCAAAAAAAAAAAAAAAAGAGTAAATGACTAAAGTAGATCTTGGAAGATGACAATGGCATAGGTGGATCTGTGAGATTCTCTGAACATCAGTTCCCAAAAAGATTCTTACTTTTCTTCCCCCACCACCCCCCCGCCCACCGCCAGCGCACTGGTCTGAGGTCCGGGGACTTTTGGTCCCATGCAGGGCTGGATATTGCAACCCCCGGCTGCTGCTGCTGCTCCACTACATGTGACTCCTGCTGTGCAGGAGTCCCGGATCTCGGCTCCCTCCCTGGCTACATCGTCTCACCCAGCACCAAGCTGCTGGTCACCCAGGGAGGTTCTGGGCACCCGCTCCCCAGAGATACCAGTCCCATTTCTTACTGAAGAACCCTGTGAGGGACCCAGGGCCAATCTCGTCGCCCACTGCCTGCCCTTTGGAGTTTGGAGCTTTGGAGCTCTGGGCCTACCCAGCTGAGGCACTCAGCACGTGATGAGGTGCTGATCGGAAGCTCTCAGCTCCAGAGGAGGGAACTCCAGATCCCCTCCTCCACCCCAGCCTGCTGGTGGTACCCTGGATCCAGCACCCAGCTGTGCAGCTGATCCCTGGTGCCTCCCACTCCAGCACAGTCCATCACAGTGGAACACACAGGGACCCAGACGAGCAGAGAGAAAAGATGCGCCAAAGTGAACCTGCCACCTCAGCCATTCTCCAGGCAGAGATTTGCACTGCCCTGCCCACCTATCAACAGCCTCCACCTCGGTTCCTAAGGTAACATCGCTAAACAGGAGACAAAGCCCCTCCCCTGCTGAATCAGACAAAGGCAGTGTTGCAGACCTCCCAGGCAGCAGGCTAAAAAAGAAAAAACCAAAGCTGCCAGTAAATCTAGCTACCTGCAAGGAAAACAAAGGGGAGAGGCTGGAGATCAGAACTGAAGAGTCACTCAGGAAAAATTCCAGAGCTAGTCTGATCTCTTATTTTGACTTTTGATTTTATCATTTTGACTGTTTGTTTTGTCACTTTTGTTCACTTTCTGACTTACACTACCTGTTTTATGATTTTATTGGTCTGTCTCTGTGTGGCTACCAGTATCCTTTAGGGAATTTGGCTCACGTGTCTTCTTCACTTCTCTCCAGCCTTGTGTCTCTTTTTCACCTGTTAGCTGGTGTGTATGTCTGTTTTCCCTCTCACTCTCCTCTCTTTCTAACTTCCTATCGACCCCCCCTTCCTCCATTATTTTCCTCTTTTGTACCGCCTTCTGTTCCAGGGACCAAACCTATATACCGCTGCACAGACAGATTGTAAAGCAGTGGGAAATAGGTTCCAGTGTGCTCATACACCTGTGGGTGGATGCTGGAATCAGCATATGGATTCTGAATCACAGCCTCCCCCTCAATTAAACCTCAAAACTGCAATAAGTACAACCCACAGCCCACACTCCAACCTCAAAAGTGAACAAAGCCAGAGGACTCTCATAAGGAAGAATAGGAAATTGCACAAGGGAAACAAAAGCAACCCGACCTTCCCTGAAAAACAGAATTAAAGAAGGGGAGGGAAACGGGGAGAGAGAAAAAAACCTACATAAATGAAGAAAAACCAAAAGAAGAATATGGGTCTCCCCCAGATCCCTGGAAGGTCAGACACTGAGAAAACTGACTTCGGAATGCAAACAATGAAGAACCCCCAGAATGACTGGTCCCAAACTACAGACCTAGATATCAAGACATTAATGGAGAGATTAAAAAGAATTGAGGAGAGACAAGAAGAAACTAGGAAGGAGCTGATATCTGAGATAACAGTAATAAAGAATCTGTGAATGGAATATATAGCAAAGTGATAAGTATGGAAAGCAGAATTACCCAAGTAGAAGAAAGACTCTCAGAGC